TCAATCCCTTGATTAAGCACATTTCTGGCGACAGTACTGTTACGTTTTATAATCAATATATTAGATAATGGAATAATTAAGCACACATTTATTTTAATTGATGCGTCAGCTAAATATTCATTAGTGTCAGTATCCTTTGTTTCTATTCCTGTTTCTTAATGCGGTTTTCATGTATCGCATATGTCCCCTAAGAACCCGGAATCTGTCTGCATTGAAAATATTAATAAAATAAGACGTAATTTATTATATGAAACTTTAAAACATGCATGTGACTCTGCATCTGTCTACCAAAACCAAAATACACCTTGAAACAAAATTTTGATTCAAGGACAAGAATATATGCATAAAGGAGTTGTTCACTTTAGGAGTAATGCCCCTCTGATAAGAGAGAGAGATTACTTTCCAAGGAAACTATTGGAAGCATTCCAATGAATAGTCTTACCAGAGTTTAATACTGGGGACCATTATATAGTCAATTTAATCAAATCTGGGTTTGTTTGTTTGTTTTTGTTTTTGTTTTTTGTTTTTTTTTTTTTTTTGGTTTAATTTCCCTCACGAGAATTTTTCATTATAATGGAGACGCCACCACTTGCCGGTGAAGGGCTGCAAATTTATATCTATACTCTTCACTCAAGAGCATTGAGCAGTGAGGGATCTTTTTCGTGCCAACACCTACTGCTACACGGGACCTCGGTTAATACGTTCTCATCCGAAGGACCGGTCCCCGCGTCCCGCAGTGGATTGGAACCCGCAACGTAAGGATCAGCTCCTTACTCCGCAACTCTAGAGTAGATGCTCTAACCACCGCTGGCGACCAATCAAATCTGAACTATGTTACAAATATTGATTTCTATTTTCTATTGCCAATATTTTTATGAATTACATGTACTTGTAATAGTTTACCTAAAACATTTAAACTCAGTTTCTATAAACTGTTAAAATTGAGATATTTCTATCTTTAACATATAATTCTTTTAATTGTTGCAGGAATTTCAGATACAGAATTTTTATAATTAATTAATTAATATTTTTTCACTTAAAAAAATTAAAGACAGATAACTCCTGTAGATTTAAAGATAACTCTTGTAGATAGATGTATTTTTATTCTACAAGCACAGAAAAATGTGATATTCTGATAGAAAAAGCAACGCTTCATTATGTTTTCTAATAAGAATTAAATAGGAATGAAGTTAAATATCATTTTCATTTATGCCTCATATTTTTTATTTATTTTGAGATAAAAAAAAATTATTGATCTTTCTATTCACCATATCAAATTTTCTTCATAGCATGATTAGACAATATTTATTTCTGAAAAAGTAATAAACGCTTCATACTACAACCTATTTTCCATTTGAATCATATGCTGTTGTTGTTGATGAAAATCAATGTTGGAAATTAAAAAAAAAAACATAAGTGAAATTTAGAGCAGAGGGATATTTCACCTTAAATATAGTAGCGTGTTCACCTTTTTTACCCTTAGTTTACCGGTTTAATATTAGCATACGGTATTTCATAAATTTTCATTGTGCATAGCAGATTAAAGCGTCGTTAATTAGGGTGAGTTAACCATGCATCGGACACATACCTTGCTTCGGACAACTTTAAGCAATAAAGTGTCATTGAACCTGAGTCTCCCCGTGTTTTTACTCGTTTCTGTCTTAAAGGTGAAAAATTAAACTTTTTTAATGATGCCGATTTTTATTTTCATGTTGTGATAAAAATACCACAAGAAGGGCCTTGAAATTACGTCATATTTTGCATCATCAAAGGGGAGTAACCAGAATTTTACGATTTTGCAATTTTTAGAGTTGTCGTTCTTTTAAATAAACGTCAACGGAAAGGGTCGGACCTTGGTAAAATTTGTCAATAATTTATAATTTTACAGAAATTTTTCAAAAATTTTACATCAATGTTTCTATAATATTTTTTTAAAGTTGTTTTTAACTAGTATGTTTATTTCACCGTACATCGGACACAAATTAACCATGCATCGGACACTTTCCAATGCATGGGTAATCACTTCCAGTGTCATGTAAAACCCAAACGACAGCTGTTTTTTACGGAAATAAAAAATAGAAACTCTAAATTTTCAGTGAAAATAGAAATTATCGATATATGACGACTAGAAGTGGACTCAATTTATTTCTTTAAAGTAGATGATTATAAGACCTTTGCTCGGCACCCAGGGCCATTGAGCAGTGAGGGATCTTAATCGTGCCAACGCCTGCCGTGGCACTGGGCCTCAGTTTTTAAGGTCTCATCCGAAGGACCCGCAACTTTCTCTTCAAAGTGCCGAGCGCCTGGCGAAGGAACAGTTGCTACCTATTTTTATCGACTTAAGTCTGTCAAGGCCGATATTCGAACTCACGGCCTTCCGGTCACGGAGCGAACGCTCTACAGGCTGAGTTACCGTGACGGCTACTATAAATAGAAGATACTTGAAAGTTCTCATTGCAAACAAAAATTAAGTAATTTTACAATCAAATTAGTCGCCAGCGTGGCACAGTGGTTAGAGCGTCTGCTCTAGAGTCGCAGAGTAAGGAGTTGATCCTTAGGTCGCGGGTTCGAATCCCACTGTGGGACGTGGAGACCGGTCCTTCGGATGAGACCGTATAAACCGAGGTCACGTGTCGCAGTAGGTGCTGGCACGAAAATGATCCCTCACTGCTCAATGGCCGTAAGTGCCGAGTATAGGACAAAATTTGCAGCTCTTCACCGAAAAGTGGTGGCGTCTCCATATGAGTTAAAATTCTCGAGAGGGACGTTAAACAACATACATTATCTATTGATTGACATTTTCTGATGTTGACTCAAATAATAAAGACATCAGTTAATAATATAATTTAATTCTGAAGGTTTTTAATAAATGTTCAAACTTTGATGAGGAACTGGGGACGATAGATAAGCCAATTGAGACTTATTCTTTTAACCATCCATGACATATTTTACTACCCTTCGAATGATGCGGATTATTGTGTAATGTTTACTAGATGAGGCAAGGAAAATAGGGAAGTTTCTAGTATGCCGGTCCCCAGAATCACGAGACTGCGCATGAGCGGTTATTTCCATTGCCGTTGCTATGCAGAGTGTAAACAAACCGCCATTTTCTCTTTGCTTCAACAAAACACATTCGATCGAGTGATTAGGGTTAGAGTATATAGTTTTAAGACTGGAACTGTTTTATAAATCCAGTCTTAAATCTTTCTGACTTTGGGCTAATTCATGTAATTTTTGCTTACAAAAGACACTGCAAAGTGCCTTTTGTGATCAAAAACTTGCATGAATCAGCCTAATGTCGAACCGTACCGATATATTATCTTACAGCAGTAAAGCACGAAACATGTAAAACTTAAGCAAAACGTTAATTAAATATCTGTACGTTGTCTGCGATCTACGGATTAGGGTTAGAGTATATATAGCTCGGATATTGTGACAGTCTTATATGCACGCATGCTCGCATCTCCATCACTTTGGGCTTATTCATAAAATTTTTGATTACTAAGAACAGGAAAGGCTTGTTACCGAAACTCGGATGAATTAGCCTTGGTTTACTATCGAAACATGCCCGATATTGTGCGGTTTGTTTAGGCAAGTTATTGGTAAAAGCGACTTACCGTTACTTGAGCTCGATATCCCAACCTCCGAATGTTCATATTTAGATTATTTTTCCTTTCAAATCGATGGAGATGCACAATTCAATCATCCAACTGCTAGTAATTAGTTACAACTTGTTAAATCCCTTCATTTCTCACAAAAATCTCGCATCTTTAGTAGCATTTCACTTTGAGTCCTATCAACTATTTCTTCATTACGTCAAAACACAAGTGACGCACGTCATGAATATTTATGAGATTACATCAAAAATTGATCATGTGACCACATTCCTAAACAACGCAAGATAGAGTTTTACCTACTAAACAAGCACGTTATTTTACGAAATTCTCATTTAAAAAACTGTGTTTAAAACCCACTTTTTTAACCCAATTTTACACACGGAATACAAATTTTGGCTCAATTTTGCGATTTGTGGCCTTTTTATCGATTTTTTTCGATCGCGTATTATAATGTATGCCGCCTTCGGCGGCACCTATTTTAGCGCCATATTTATAGGGACCGGTATATTAGAAGTGTTCCATACTATAAAGTTAAAAGGAACGGCATTTGACTTAAAAGAGAAAAATTTTGATTATTAAAAATTAATGGGTTTTTTAACTTTTTAAATAGAAACAAAACAAAATTGAGATTGTTAATGTTTGTACATATTTAAATATGTACCTTACAGATACTCAAAATTTATAATTGCAGAAAATTTCTCAATTTAAGTAAAAAACATGATCCCAGATATATACTGGTCGCAGACATATTAAATATTATATCTTTTAGTAGAAGTGTATTTTTTTTTTTTTTTTTTTTTTTTTTTTTTTTTTTTTGATATTATATCAAAACTGATAATCATTGTGAACAATAAAACATTCACAAATTGTGAATCAATCTGTTAGTGAATATACATTGGAATAGGAATTACCTTCACTAATGATATATTTTAAGAAGTTGTAAAAGGAAATTATCTAGCCTTTTTAATAGGAGTCATAATATGTAGAACTTTGTGCTATTTTTGAGGTCGCTTGTCTGTTTCAGATCATAAAATTTTATTACTCGATGTTTATAAATATATTTGAAAGTCAAGGATTGGTGTCAGAAAAGATTCCATAGAAATGGTATATTATGCAAAGAAATCGTAAAATAGTAATTTAAATTTCTGTATTCATATCAATTTGAGTCTTTGCACATAATTTGCATAACAGACCTAACATGCCTACAATCCTGCTTTCTACATTACAAACTGCTCATTTGCTACTTTTAATAGGTCGAAAGAAAAAATAGCACTTGTATAACATTTAGAGCATGCAAAAATTATGCAAGAAGATACAATTGATGGACGCACATATATATATTTTTCTCATTCAAATAAGATGCTCACACTTAAATGATTCGTTTGGGAAAAAGGTTACAAACTTTGATATGAAGAAGAAACATTGCAAAAGGGTTCCAAGGCGGGGTTACATTGCAAGAAAAGAGGAACAGAAAAGGCAAGAAGGTAGGAATGCTCCAAACATCATAGAAATTTATTTTACTAAACAGATGTTAACGCACATTTTACTAAATCTTACATAAAATATGTAAATAAACAAACGTCCCTAACAAAGAGTTACTATAGTTAACTATTGCTTAATATAGTTTTAAAACTATAGTAAACACTTTATAACATTGATTTACTTTAAAACTTCTGATGAAATTTAGGCCTTAGTATCTCTTTAATTACACACCACTGATGTAAAGTTTAGAAATAATTTGTGATATGTAAGTAATATTTTCTTATAATATAAAAAAAAATGCATACAAGACTTCGAGACGATAAAATATAATAATTCAAAATTCTAAGTAAAATTACTTTGATTTACTACAGTCAAAACACTTTGATTTACTATAGTAAAAACTAATATACTATTGTAAAATACAGTTTACTATAGTACTTTCTTTTTTGTTAGGGGTATTTGTTCATTTTAATAATATTACTCCTTTGAGAAATGGCCTGCAAAATTCTCTTTTATCCTAAAATCTTATTTCACAGGTATCTGAACATGACTCATTTCTTTTTAGACATGCGGGAAAGGCGTTTGTTATACATATATATGAAAGAAATAGTAAGGCTTCTTCCAAAATCTCGTTGTTTGTAAGTGGGGTAATTCATTTTATTTATTTATGCTTTCATGGAGCAAGGAAAATATGAATAAAACACGAATTTAAACATGAATTTGAACAATATCAATGTTATTGAAAAATAGCAATAAAAGAAAGAAACAAAAAGAAAATCAAATAAAAACAGAGGTTTACATTATAATAGTAGAATAGCAGAAGTAATCTTATTTTCTTGGGAAAAATGTTATTTTCTAAGGAAATAATTGCTACACTACGTGTGTGTGTTTGTTTAAAATATATTTATTTTTCCTTTTAAAATTCCAGGGAAATAAAAAACGATGTATTCTCTGTGCTGACACTGGATAGAGTACATAAAGGAACTGAAAAATGAAAACGCAAAGATGTTAACATCCAAAACCTATAACTAGTAGCAAACTGCCTTTAACATGTTTGTTTTACTGAACGTAATTATCAATTTTCAAAAGAAGTTTTGGTTGTGGTTGCAGACGCAATGATGAAACAAAGAAAACAAATTAAAGAGGGATTTAAAAATGAAATGTGATGAATTTAGAATCAAAAGGTAATGGTTAGGAGAGGATATATGCTTAACATGTTTGTCGAGCTGAAATTATTAATTAAAATATCATTCCTCTGATATTTGTAGTCCCGTTAGTTGCAATGAGTAGCAAATGCTTTCCATTGCTTCTTTGTATGCTGCAAGTTGATGACGTCCGATCCTAAGAAAGCAAATAAATTCATTTGAGCATTCTCTAAATGTTTTGATGATTATTTTTGGTGTTTATATTTTAGTTTTAAACTTTAGACCATTATAACGAAGGTAATAATTTGCAGGTTAATTTATGTTAATAGGTTAAAGAGGTTCATTAACAACTGGAAAGCTACATTCAGTCAGTCTTTTTGAACAATTATGCTAAATAGTAACAATTAATTTGTTCACGAATTCTTGTTAGAAGACAATAGATGTTTATAATTTTTATCTTTTCTTACAAATATACATCGTCTTTTGCTTTCAAACCTTTAAATTAAAAAAACATACAGTACCTAGATATCAAACAGCTGAAACATAATTCTCCAACGTGTTCCAGCGTGTTCATGTTCTTCTTCATCCTTCAACTACACAGGTAAAATAACATATGTTGAACATACGTTGTACATATGTTGACCATATGAATTTTCGACAGTATGTTGAACATATGTTTAAAACATATGTTGAACATATGTTTGAAATATATGTTGAACATATAGCAGACCCAAAACATATGTTGAACATATGTTTGTGGTAACTATATGCTTAACATACGTGAACATATTTTAAACATATGGTTGTTTCAAACATATGTTCAACATATGTTTTGAGTTTCACATAAAATTCATACTGAACATTATATAATAATTTAATTTTGTTTGTATTCTAGCTTCTGATTGGTTAATATCCAAAAAGGAACACAAATTATTTCTGTATAACCTGGTTTGGTACGGGGACACACCCCCCTGACAACCAGCTGGATCATCTGTATCCATACAATTCTCTCATTTCCAGTCCTCGGGATTCATGGAAAATTCCAGATTTAATCAATGTACCTTTAACTTCAAACAATAATTCGATCTTACCACATGTAAACAAACAACAAGGCTGCTAGGCCTATGTATCAGTTTTTACCTCCCCTCGCTTCCCATCACTTCCGATACTTCCGTTACTACGGTTGTATTATTGAGCGACAAATTTGAACTAATAAAAAGCAACGAAATTTTACTTCCATAGTCATTTAATGATTTTAAAGTTAAATTATAAGGAATGACTCTAATTCTTGGCCAAAATATTCGAGTATAACCTGGTTTTGAGTCAGTTTACGCTGTTTTATAATCCGCGCAATACAGTTAAGGTGACAAAAGGAAATATCGGCCAATTTTTACATAGAAAATACATTCTTTACAAGGATGGACAATTCTTTTTAGGACTTTACTATTATCGGACAAATGCAATGTGGTTGAAAACTACATGTTGAGGACAATTAGATTTCTTATTTAGACTTGTCACGTGATGAGGAAGTCATGTGATTTTAGCAAATATACCTGAAGTATTGAGGTCATCTATAAATTCCAATATTGCAAGGGCATAACCAAGTTAAAAATCTAGTTTAATATATACTTACTTTCAACACTCTTTATATTTTGTGAAAAGTGCTGCGAACCTATATAGATTCTACTATCTAATTGCTAAAATTACATTTGTTAGACCGTATGTTGAATATTTTGCTGGTCAAGTACATTAAATATAGATATAATTAATTCATTTGTAAGATTTCAACAGGTTCGCAGCACTTTTCAAATATCTTCATACTTCTTGAATTTATGTGTAAAAGCTTGTCATAATTCATTGAGGGTATGCCCTTGCAATATATCGATTTATTACGACCCTTCTATTACCCTTCAATGAATCTGCATACAAATATACGGCAGTATCGCTTGTCTAGGGAATGTATTGGAACTATATGAATAAAATCATAAAATAGACATCGCATCCAAGTTAATGGCCTCTTATATATCTGCAAATAATATTTTATTTAATTACAAAATACATTTTTCATTGTATAAAATACACTTGATCCGCCTCTCACTGCATACAAACTGCGTCAAATTTTACGATATGACGTCACATTGACAAGTGCATTGCGATCAGTGAATTGTTTATATATTGCTGTGTGGGATTTAACCAACGACAAAAATGCATGCACTAGTTAGTATTGATGTAGTTTAAAGCTATCCAACAGTTTAAAATAGCAAATCCTTCCATTTTGTGGTAATTTGAAGAACTTATATTTTTGTGTGATGTCATAGAAAGCATTTCCCGTATAAATTAGGCCCCGCCTCCTTATTGCAGCCTTAACTGTGCTGCGCGCTTCGCGGATTATAAAGCGTAAACTGACCCAAACCAGGTTATACTCGAATAATTTGGCCAAGAATTAGAGTCATTCCTAAAATAACCAATATCCTTTTCACATTTATTTCATTTAATATTAAGTTAATGTTATCGTTATTTGAAATAATTTATTTTAATTTAGCGAGATAAAAAAATATGTTAATTAATTTAATGTTAATCAATGAATCAGCAATAATTTAATATTAAGCCTAATATGAAAAACATGAGTTAGGCCCCCTTTATGTTATATTTTAACACGTCGGAGGGGGGGGGGTCCAGCAAATTTTGAAAGGGGGATTTCCAGGTCGGTGCCCCTAACACTCATGCATAGAATCACAACATAGGCACTTCAAACCATAGCACTGAACGGTTTTCGAAGGGGACAATCTCCGAACAGAGTTGACAAGCAACCCCCCCCCCTCCCCCGGCTTCCTTCTGGATTCGCCAATGCAAGTAGACTGCATGTTAAAAAAAATTAATTTCAATAACATTAATCAAGATCAATTTGAATACTTATTTATTCAAAAGAATGGTCATTTCTTATAGAAGCTTACATAAAAAAGGGGGAAAGGTTAACTACTCTGTTAGGTACCGTGCACCCCTCCTCCACTCGTTTCTTCAAATTCAGTCCCCCCCCTCCTTTCTTCGAATCAAAATTTTTCTTTTTGAACATTGTATTCCCCAAATTAAATTTATCAAGAATTAATAAATGTGTATTTTACCACGTTTTGTTTGGATTTTTTATATGAGTTTAAAAAAATCATTCCATATTTTATTCCCTGAACGGTTTTGGTTTTTATTGGATGAAAGTGTACGTACGTCATTTTTGACGTCACTGTTGCAGCAGAAGTGTTGGGTGTTGGAAACAAGTAAGTGTTTTCAGATATGTTTTTAGAATTTAGTTTATGGTGGTAAGAGATTTTTTTAGGGTTACAGATTCATACGAACTTCTACTATTCTCTCTCCTGACTTGCATAACATCTAACTGTAGTTGTTATTAATGCAGTTCGTAAAAAGACGATACATGTAGTGATCTTGTCTACGTTATTTTGGATTTGTTTTCGACCAATGTAAAAACCAATTAGCATTACTAATTTTTCAGATTTGTTTTCCTTTTGTCAATTGGCCTAGTTACGTTGCATATCATGTACGATCTTAATTGACTTGAAAGTGAAAGTAGAAATGTTGCAGTTTGTATGTAGCGTATGTTAGATGGTTATCCATTCGGTTCTTTTATCAAATGATTAATGGGAAATGTTTGTTTTATTATGTATTAAGCAACTGGAGTTCAGTGTCAGAGTACCGTTTTTATTGAAAGAACCCAAAGCTGTTAAGACTGACTATTCCACCCAAAGCTGATTTGACTGAAGATTGCACGATCACAATATACAGGTGAAAATAAATACATATAATAATCACAGTAATTACAGGGTGACTCTTTAATAACAAAATATTTCTTGAGAAATTTCTTTTTGCTTCTTAATTCTACACTGGATTACTTTATGAAAAATTAATCAAACTCTTTTTTTTTTACTAAAATATTGAAGATATTGATATGGATAGAACTTGCCGGCTTTTAAAGTATAAAGTATCTGAAAGATGCTCAATTTCAGACTAATCTGGCATTCAAGATAATAGTGTAAATGTATTTAAAGTTCATCATCTAATTTATCACTTATTTATATATTAATTGACATAGAATATTTTTCAACACTAGAGAAACTAGAAACTTGTATTCACTCTCTTTCGAAGTTTCTTTTAAGTTTTAATTGGAATTTGATTAGAAAATATTTACTGTATGAGTATCAATTTTACAATTTTATAGGCTCCCCTCCCTGCTATGAATAACATGGAAGAACACTATGACCCTAGGCTTGCTCCAGAATAGGTAAGTACACCCTGTAGTACAAGCTTTGTTATTTTCTTCCAAACAAAGTTTTGGGATATACTGGAAACAAAATGTCTATTTCTCTGCCTGTATTTTTGCCTGTATTTTTTTTAATATCCAAATATACATTTGTATCTGATTATCCATTTAATATTAATATTTTATACTATTTCAACATTCCAAATTCATTTGTAAACAATTAGTAAAACTAATTGTTTTTTTATGATTTTATTACTAAGCATATCTTCCGAGAGTGAAATTGTCTTGGACATAACAATATATGGTGTTATACAACACCATGTAATGTTTTATGAAATTAGTTTCAACTCGTATCATAACGGATAACTGTTTAGGAGAATGGAGTATGCATTTGTTTGCACATGACAAATATCTTCAGTGTATGAACTTAAATTACATGTAGAGTTTAATTTGTATTTCAGAGAACCTGTATTAATCAACAGAACCTTAAAATTGGAGTTTCCATGGTAGTGCCACTCAGTACCTTAACATGTGACACTTTCAAATCCTTTGATGAAGTTCCAAGGGGTTGTAAAATGGAAGAAAACAAAGAACAGGGCAAGAAAAAAACAAGTGCTCAAAGTAATTACTCTTTGTGCTAACTAATACCAGTATATATTTATTAATTATACATGTATTTGACTTCTTAATTTTTATTTTTTTTTCTTTATCATTTCAGATGCAATGCAGTCACTGTCAGGGAAATAAAGCCAGAATTATGTACAAATTTGAAAAAATAAACACAAGATAATTGCTGGAGATTGTCATGATAGTGTTATTTGATTTCTTATTATTAAGTGATTAAAGGACAAGAGTACTATTTAGTTAACTTTGCAATCCAAAGAAATACCAAATGATTAAATAATAAATGTAAGTAAGAAATAAACTTAACGTATGTTTAACATATGAAAAACATATGAACATAAACATATGTTAATCATATGTTCAAACAACATAAACATATGTTAAACATATGTTGCTCGCTTTTCATGGCGAACATATGTTTCAGAACATGTGTTCAACGTATGTTCAACATATGTTAAACACACGTTGCAATTTTACCTGTGTATAGTCTTGCTGGACACGTCATTACTGACGTAAACATAATTAATTATGAGGACCTTCAATCACTCATTAAAAGTTTCAAAATTTAAGAAACCCCGATCTTTCAACTGGCGTCATAATGTCATAAATATTATTCATTTCGTGGAAGATTACGCCAGACAATGGAATCCCATGCAGGACTTAACATAATTCTGGATTCCTAAACTTCTAAAAAAATCTTTTAAAAATTTACATAGCAGGTTCTAACAATAGGTCGGAATTTCCATGGGTAACAATTGCGCCCAGTTGTTGGCAGACCTATTTTTGTGTTCATATGAAGCAAATTATACATGACAAGAAGAAAACACTTGCTGGGCCTTCAACTTGACATTTAGAAATATCGACAAACATGACGAAGAGTACATGGCGGGTGTGACAGGTCGATTTGGAGTGCTTACTCCTCCATGGCACACGATCTCACTTCTGTTTTTTTTTAAAGAGTTTTGTGTTTGATCTGCTCCCAATATGAACTTGTTTTATTATTTCATTGAAACATAGGCGGGTATGTTAAAGAAGCATTCAGATCATTTCTCGGGAAAATTAGACTTTTTTAAGAAATTAAAGTTTGATGATTTATCAAAAGAACCAATAATAAATTAACTATAATAAACTATTGCATAAAGACAGCAGAGTGTCTGAAGCCAAGAAGTCCACCACCACGACGTCATCACGTGACTGCTAATAAAACAAAAATACTTCAAATAAACAAAAGTAAACAGGACAACACTACCCGGGGTTTTAAAATTTCTTTGAGTAAATAACATAGATGAAAAACATCTCATACATGTATGTCTAAAAGGTGCTGCTTGAATCCTACTGTCCGGTCGGGAAAATAATTATACCACACATTCACACGAATTGCTACCCGATGTTTTGTGTTGAAGAACAATTAGATTTATAGCATAAATTTAATCATCTCACAACAAAGTTGGATTTCTAGAGCAGACTTAAGAACTTCCCAGCAAAGGTTGATTCCTAGCGCACATTTAAGCACCTTGCAGTACAGGTAGATTTATTCTATACATTTAAGCATTTCCTAGCACAGATATCTAGTAACTATACATTTAAGCACTTTGCAGCATAGTTGGGTTTCTAGCGTACATTTAAGCACCTCGTAACACAGGTGGATTTCTAGCTTATATCTAAGCAATTCTAGCATAGGAAGATATCTAGTGTACTTTTTAGCAATTTCTAGAACAGTTAGATTTCTTGCATAAGTTTAAATACTTCACAACATAGCCGATTCCTAATGTTCATTTAAGCATTTTCCAGCACGGGTTAATCTCTAGTGTACATTTTAATTCCTAGCAACACGGTTGAATTAATTTCTAGCGTACATGTAAGGACTTTGCAGTATAATTGAATTTCTAAGGTTCATATAAGCACTCGTAACACAGGTGGATCTCTAGCGTACATTTAAGCACTTCCTAGCAAAGGATTGATTGATTGATTATTATTGTTTAACGCCGAGTCGGCAATATTTCAGCTATATTTCGGCGGTCCTAGCTAAGGAAGATTAAATTCTAGTGTACTTTTCAGCAATTTCTTGTATGCAGATAGACGGACGGTCTTAGATTTCTAGAGTACATTTAAGCATTTCCCAAACACAGGTCGATTTCTAGCGTATATTTAAGCACCTAGCAGCACAATTGAATTTCTAGAAATCATTTAAATCATTTAAGAACTTTAAAGCATAGTGAGATTCCTGAGGTATACTTATGCACCTCTTAATACAGCTGAATTTCTAGCGTACATTGAATCATTTCTTAGCAAAGGTAAATTTCTAGCGTACTTTTGAGCACTCTGTAGCAAAGTTGGATTTCTAATTTTCATTTAAACTTCAGAGCATAGTTGGAATTCTAGCGAACAATGAAGCAGTTCCTAGCACAAGTAGATTTCCAGTGTACTTTGAAGCACTTTTCAAAACAGTTTGATTTCTAGCATAAATTTAAGCACCTCAAAACACAGTTGGATTTCTAGCGTACTTTTAAGAACTTCCTAGCAAAGGTAGATTTTCGAAGTACATTTAAGCATCCACAGCACAGATGGATTTTTAAGCACTTCCTAACACAGATAGATTTCTAGCGTAGATGTAAGCACTTTGCAGGAAAGTTGGATTTCTTAGGTACATTTAAGCACCTCACAGCTCAATTGGATTTTTAGCGTACACTGAAGCAGTTCCCAGTTTCACAAAAAAGTTATGGTCCAAGAATATAACCCTATGGTACACCTTTTTTATACCAACCAAACTATACTGACGATTCCTTGTTAAAAACGTTCAGACAAGAAGCTCCAAACAGAATTTGGTGATAGATAATAATCAGAAAGCTAACGTAACAAAACATCATGTGGCATTGAGTCACTTGAGTGACCTTTTGCTATCTGTTTTTGTCCGTCATCGTGCGTCGTCCATTGTTACCGCGTGTTATCACTTGAACATTTTCAACTTCTTCTTTGGAACAGCTAAACTAATTTCAACCTTTTTTTTCGCATAGCATCTATGGGTAAAGGGGAGCAAAATTGTGAATTTCATGACCACTCCTTGGGCTTGAGGGTGCGGTAAAACCATCAAAATTTATGCAATGTTTAAAACTCTCCTTCCTTACTTTTTGGACATCATGTAGTAAAACGGTTGGTATGATTGTAATAAGCATTGGGGTCTACCAAAAATGTGAATTCATTGCCCCTGGGTTAGAGGTTTTAGTATTAGGGCGGGGCTCTATTTATCATATAGTAAAAATGCATACCTATTGAATTACACTACACTTTTGTCTAAATTCAGTCTAACTCGGCAATTACAAGTAGAATACGCTGAGATACATAATTGAAAAGTCTCCTCTCCCCCTGTATACTTAACATACAAACCAAGTGCATGATTATGATGAGAAAGGGTGCCTTATCTAATATTGTTAAATCCATGGCCTTTGGGTCAGGGGTTCTGGTGTTAGGCCGAAGTTCTGTTGATTACATAGTAAAAATGCGTAAATTCTTTAAACTCTTCTAATTTACCCCTAGATATTTAGCAAAGAAACGTATTCCATTGTTTTGATAAGCAAGGATGCATCTTCCAAAATTGTGAAATTCATGACCTCTGGGTCAAAAGGTTCTCTTGAAAGGATGAAACTGTTATTGAACATTTAGTGAAAATGCATAAATGATTGTAAAATCTATTACAAACAAATTGCATGTTAATAATGTGAAAGGATGCCTCTTCCAAGATTGTGAAATTCATGGCCTCTGGGTTATATGTTCTGGTGGTGGGTGGGGCTCTATTGATATCAATTATAGAATGAAATGCATTTAATGTATTAGCAATGGCAAGTACAGGCAAGTAAATAGATTTGTTTCGATTTCTTACTGAGTACTAGACTAATTACTTTGCTGATCCCTGACCATTGTATTTCTCATGATTTTTATACATTATACAGTATTGTCACCTTTCAGATTTTGTTTTATTTTATACTTCTATGTATTCTTTGCAGTGTTGTACTTTATTTAGGTGGCTGTTACGACCCTTTGGCCTCTTCCTTCCAACGAGTATTTGTTCAGCAATGTTTAGAGATGCTTTTTCAAAATTTTGATAATTTACATTTTATAGAATATAATTTTGAATATAATCTGTCACAATATAAATATATTTCAATGCAATGCTTTTAATAATAAATTTCTCTAGATTATTTTGATAAGAGACATTGTCACTTTTCTGTATGTAGCTACACGGACTGTCTTAATTTATCGATGTATTGCAAGCGCATACTATCAAGGATCATGATATGTTTTTTAACAGAAACTCAAGAAGTATTGAGATATTCAAAGGGTATGACACGTATGAAATCTTGCAAATGAATTATTTGTTATTTCAAAACAGCTGACAATCTTGCAAATGAATTATTTGTTATATTAAAACAGCGGAAAATCTTGCAAATGAATTATTTGTTATATTAAAACAGCTGACAGTCTTACAAATGAATTATTGTTATATTTATGTAGGCGATCGAAGTAAAATTTCAGAACTCGGTTTTATAAATCTGATTCCAACAATTAATTGTGATCTATCTTTCTAATATCGCAATACTATTAATAGTCTAAAAAGGTTGTTGAAGATATTTATAAGCCAACTTTTTATCATAACTAATCATAACTAATATTGAAATTAAAAGATGACCTCAATACTATAAGTATATTTGCTTCATTTACATCTCGATCAGTGAAAATTTATATTCTATTCACCTTCAATAGGTAGTAATCGTTTTTTATGTTACATTTGTGCAATATTGGTAAGAATCAAAATAACCCGTTTACATAAAGAAAACAATCACAAAATTCACCGATTTTGGCATCGTGCACCTTAACTTTACTGCGTGTTCAGGTATATATTAAAAGATGAATGCCTTCGGTTCAGTATGCCATATATGTACATTGATTACATTTCTTTTGCACACATGATTTATTCATGGTAAACGTTTGCAAAAATATTTACATTTCCAATGTCTTTGTCCGAGATAAAATTACATTTTATAAAATATTAATAAAATTAAATTTCATTGATAGGCGCGGTTAAAAAAAAATCACGTGCGGGCAGGACAAATAAAGACAGAAGCGGGGCTTTTAGCACGGAAATTTGCAGAATCAGGAGCATGTAAATATAAGGAATA